CACGGAGCAAAGCCCTCCAGCTGCTCCCTGTGCCTGTGTGAAGCTGCCAGGGACTGAAGCATGAGCTGCCCTACCAGCACCCGCAGGTGTGAGCCACAGAGGAGGAGGAAAACGCTGAGAATCCAAAGAAAAGGGCAAAGAAAGAAACCTTCCCGAGCAGGAGGCGTGGGGACCTATCACTGTGGGGCAGAAGGAAAAGTGCAATTCTAAAGGGAAAAAAAATGCCAGGTTATTGTTACTATTTGCTTCACTCTTTGGAAGACGGAGAGAAAACATCCAAATGACCCTCAGCAACAGGTGTAACCCCCTCCCTGCCTGCGTCCTTGCACACACACACAGAGGATGCTGAACGCAGCCCGTGGAAATCCAGGCGGATCACGGATCCGCTGACGTTGAGCAGCTCCGGAGGGAGCACAGGTATAAAAAGGGGGGACGCAGCTCGGTGGCAGCTGGAGGACAGTTGGGGGGGATCTGGCAGCATCCTCAGCTTCCCGGGAGCCTGTCCTGGCACAGCCACATTCACGGAGCAGCAGCAGAGAAAAAGAAGGGGTATTTGCAGCACGGAAAGAAGACACCTGAGCAGCAGCTGCTTCGGGAAGAGCTTATTCCTAAGGGAACGGTAAGTGCGAGCCTCTGCATGTGGGTTTAACGAGGTGACATCCATTTGGAAAGCGGGAACAATTAAATTGCGCTGGAATGCAATCCAGGCTGGCATCAGTAAGGATTAGTTGTGCCAGACACAGTAACCTTTGCACCAACCATAAGAGAGTTTTTTGCGCCAAGTTATAGAATGAAGCAATGTCTAAACTACAGAATGAAACAACAGAAAGATCCTATGGATGAGCCTTGTAAAAACATGTTAGACTTACTAGATGAAGCACAGATTACCTCTTTTGTGATACTAATATGATTTCTTTTTACCCTGGAAAATGAATGCTGTTTCACTCACCCACCAGTAAAATTGTGTTGGAGCCAAACCGAACTGTGAGGAGAAACCCAGGGCTGTGGCTAATGCAAAGCCAGCTGCAAGAAGGCAGAATAAGCTGCTTGGAAGGATTCTGCTCCTCTAATGTGATATTGCACAATATCAAAGTTGGAACTTTATAAAGCTGAATGTACAGTGAAGGCTTCATTGCAAGTAGTGGCATTTTTAAGACTGATCAGATAATTTCTAACCATTTCTAAAACCTTATCTGATCTCCCGGTATCATTTTCACGTTGCACAGGATGGAGTGAAGCTGTTGTGCTCTATCTGTTGGAACAGCATTAAAAGCTTTTTATCTTAAGGGGAAATTATTTATCAGCTATTTCTTCATATGCTGCCAGAATGGAAAATAAGGAGGTGAACCTAACCTCAAGAGAATGTAAAGGGTGAAACAACTTTGCAGAGCTCTCAGGCTGCCTGTGTGCAGGGTGACAAAGTCTTGGGCATCTCTTCTGCAATAGCAGACACTTCTGGGAACGGGGTAGGACTGTCATTTCAGGCATCTTCCCAAGGGAAAAAGGGAGACAAATATCCAAGAGGAGGAGGAGACTGTAGAGAAGGGAAGAGAAGAGAAAGCAGAACAGGGGAAGGGCAAAACCAAAAATGAAAAAAATAAAGTAAAAAAGAGACTAGAAGCAGCAGGGGAAAAAAAAATCTCAACAGGATGGAAACAGAATCTGGAGGAAAACCTAGTGCTGAAAAAGAGAAAACAGACACAGAAGGAAAGAGCTGATCAGGGCTATATGCTAGGAAGAAATGAGGGAAGCAGACAACCCGGGGCTAGGTTTTCTTTTCCTTTCCCTTCTCAGCTCTCCTGCTACTGAATAATCCGCTGCAGAAGCTGATGCCAGTCCCTGCTCCTCTCTCACAGACTCCTTAGATCATATGGTCTGTCCAGAACAAGATCTGATGTGGGACTTGTCTGGAGATATCCTGGGGATGGTGGCACAAAAGGCATGTGCTTTTTCTGGGTTCAACAGAGAATGTCAAAAAAAGGCAGGACATTTGCCTCTAAGCCTCTCCCAAAGGCAGTCTTGACTTTCTCTGGGTATTGCACAGCCACAATCATTTTTTGGGGCAAAAGTGATGATGAAAAGCAGCACCTTGCATGTGCCAGAAGTCAGTCCCGAGCCGGGAGCAGCCGCCTGCGTGTGCGGAGCAGAGGGGGAGGCTGCAGCGGGCTGGGAACGTGGGCAGCCGCCAAAGGGGATGGAGCTGGTGGCCAGAAACCCCGTTTCCGAGGCACCGTCTCGCCCGCCGCCTGCCCGGGAGCTCAGGACGCTGCTGGTGCTGCTGATATTCACCTCCCTGGTGTGAGATGAGCCCCACGGCAGTGCTGAACCAACCTCCCCTCGCTTTGCTGAGCCACATTCCGGAAGGCGCCTGGATGTGTCTGAGTAAAACCAGAGTTCCCTGCCCTGATGTTCTCAGGACCATCAGTCCATCAGCTTGGACACAGCACATGTGAAGCCCACGTGAAGTGCTGTTTTCCAGCATGCTCATGCTGAAGAGAAGCAAGAAGGAAGGTGACATTTACCCTCCCCTCTATAGCGACCCACTGACTGCCTTTGCTTTGCACTTCAGGTGACTCCAGAGGGTGGAAGATGCTGGATAAGGCCACCCTGCTCCTCTTGCTGCATTTAGTGGCGTGCTCCATCTCCTCTCCGCTCTACCCAGCTCTCAGGTAGGCTCACAAATGCTTCGCCCACACCCTGAACTTGCCTCATCTCTCAAGGCCAAATGTTTAATAACAAGAGTAACCACAGGGGCAATTCCCAGTCATTTAGCACTGATGGATACACCTCAGTGCTGAGCGCAGCAAACGATCCCGGCAAACACACAGCCTGGGATCTCTTTAAGCCTAAGTGAAGTGAAGCCAGTCCACGGCACATGCTCTAGAATCAGGAAATGTAGGAAAGTTGGGGAGACGCCTGGGTTAGCGAACAGCAGCCAGCTCTGCTTTTCGTGGCTCTCCTCAGCTCTTCGCCCCTTCCAGTGCTGCTTCCACACACAGCAGCCTGGCTGCAGCCCTCAGCCCTGCCTCGCCACAGGCACTAGTAAACTTGCTTCTTTTCCCTAGCTTCCTATTTGGGAATGCTGCTGCCTAAGGCTGCTTGCCAAAGGGGGCAGGCAGCTGGTGTGGAATATTTCAGCCCAAAGGGTTGGTTTTGGGGTTGAATGCTGAGTTTTCCAAAAGGAAACCTGACATCTCCCGAGCAACCAACACTACCAGCTCCATCACTCGTTAAAAAACTGTGCCCACAGGCCACCTGCTCTGAAGTCACCACTGCAGATATTTCAGTGCATGAACATGAGAGCTAATAGCATGTCAAGTATTTCCTTTCTGACAGTTGAAAATTAGTATTATTTTCTACTGTCACAAATGGGTGCCTGCACAAGATTGAGCACGGAGGGTCTGTGGATTTGCACCATCCCAGAGGATAAGTTTGACTTCTGCAACAAAGCCCTGGCACAGGGATACCAGAATCAGAGGAGTTTTGCTTGGGAACCCTGGTTGCTCTGCAAAGGGGAAACGCACTCAACGCTCCTCGCTGCTAAAATAGCATCGAGGCACTTTCTAGCTGAGAAGCACAGCAGACAAAACTTGGGTTATTGATGATCTGGAAATGGCAGGAATAGAGAAAAAACAGAACATGGAGCACAGGTCAAGACAACCGATCACTGCCTGACGCTGGAGCCCGCTTAGTGACCAGCCTTGGGGTTTTCTTACAGGTACAAAACTGGGTCTGTGCCTGGCAAGGCCACAAACTTCCAGCTGCAGGACCAGAGCCCCTTGCAGAGCCACAACCGCTCGGTGGAGGACCAGGACGGGGAGGGTTTGCTAGCAGACCCCGCCGAGAAGAGGTTCGTACCTTAGCCCTGAGCGCTGCAGGGCAGGGAAGGTGATTTCTGCCTGCAGCACAGAGGAGTCATCCTTGCACCAGCGGGGCCCTTGCAGCAGCTTGTGCTGCATCTGCACGAGGGTTTCTGGAGCCTGGGTACAAGCACAGGCTGGAGCTGCCAGAGGCTCCTTTCACTCCTGTCCCAGAGAGCCCCTCCAGCCCTGCGGGTCTCCTCCTTCCCACTGGTTCTCTGACTTCACCTTTGCTTTTCAGGCACGAATGTTTTTAGTACAGATACTAAAGCACAGTAGGTAGTATTTGGTTTTGCTACTGGCTGTCGGGACTGACCTGCCCAAATCCTCTAACCCTCTGTCACTAGAGTAGTCCAATACCAAGCGTTTATTTTACAGTCCCTGTCCCTGATCTCAGCGTGACCTCTGGTGTATTTTGACATCTGAAGCTCTGCGCTTGTCTTTCACCTTTAGGATGCAGCGTCACGCTGATGCCATATTCACTGACAACTACCGCAAATTCCTGGGGCAGATTTCCGCGCGGAAATTCTTACAGACCATCATTGGCAAGCGGCTTGGGTAAGGCACCTCACCCTGCTGGCTTTGGGCTACTGTTTTGCTAATTACAACGGGCAGTTTCTTTTGTGCATGTAGGAAAGTTAGGAACTACCCTCCTCTGCAACAAGAACAGTCTCTCCTGCTGTTCCCCACACCCAGGGGCATCCTACACCCACATTTCTGGGATTCTCCTAATCATGGCTGTTATTGAGCAGTCTATCAGTGTCAGGTCAGTTGTCTACCCTGCTAGCAACAGGCCCTAATCTATGGGGACAACATCTGCAGTGACCATTTTGTGGTAGAAACAGTTATTCCTGGCCCCAGTCTGACCACAGAAACAGCCTCCCCGCTACCACTCCTACCAACCGGTGGGTGCAACCCAGCTCTGATCTCTCTCCTAACACAGGAGGCAAATTCAGCTGAGCAATTTTTCACTGAAATGACACAGAATGGGCCCAGGCTGAAGCCCGGCTGGTTGCCCTGCTCTGCCTGAGCCCCTGTTGGAGTGCGGGACTGAAAAGCCCTGCAAAGAGCCCCGAGCTCCTCAGGAAGCAGCGCTAACCCCGGCTCCCATCCTTGTGTGACAGCGGCGGCGAGAGCGGCGCAGGGGAAGGGGTGCCCGGGCTGCTGACGCGGCGCCAGTCGGACAGCATCCTCATGGACAGCAGCTGCCACCAGCGCATGGTGTTAAGGGACTTCCTGGGGGCAGCAGGAATAAGACAAGGCTCTTGCTGCTGCTTGGTTTCCAAAAGCAAAGCTACTGGATTAAGTGTTATCCGTCAAGTACACTTGGGGAAAAAGCAAAGCTCCTACCTGTCCACAGAGCCCATCCGTGGGCAAGCAGGGGTGGATAAGGAGCAGCCTGCCCCGAGCCAGCCAGAATCACACAAAGCTGCAGGTCACTGTTTGTCTCCTCGGTGCACAGAGTCCAGTAAAACAGCAGTGGAAAGAGAATTTCTCTCTCAAGCCCAAATTATGTCATGACTGTCCAACTCTCTCTTCTTTCACAGGCCCCAGGACATCGACAGCAGTCACTTAGAAGGCTTTCCCAGCACCCTGGCTAAGCTCATGTAAATATTTTCCCCCTTTCATCTCCCTGGGCTCTGGTGAGTATCATTCCCTGCCTATTCACTTCCCTGTGGCACACACTGCTCCCAGGGTGCACCGAACAAGCAGTCTGAGCGCTCTCCCCTAGCACAGCTGAGTCCCTTTGCTGTCACTGAGCAAAGGGTAAAAGCTCTGCCTCATTCTGAAGGGACAGACCATGAGGGATGTAAAACCCTTGCAGTGACTCCCCAGGGCGCGTTCCAGGGCTGGCCGGAGCCCTCACACACACTGATCCCCAGGCAGGTCTAGCAGCAGATCCAGCAGAACTTGGGTGCTCTTGGGGACACCTAGGAACCAGGTAATCCATAGCTGCCTCCAGCAACCGAGAGCAGCCCTCGGAAGCTACCTGAGATCGGGTGCTCGAGTGTCTAAGCTAGAATAAAGACAGACAAAAGTCCCTCCCAGGGATCCTGCCTTAGATCCCTGGGATCTCGCAGGTTTCTCCTCTCCCTGCACGGAATAGGTGGTGTGAGGGAGTCTTTAGTTTCCTCCACCCCTCACTCCTGACATCACTCCTAGGTGACTTCTAGTCACGGGGAACTTGAAACATGGTTTAATTCTTGCCGATCCCAGGAGCCAGCCAGCAGCCAGCCTAGCAGCCCATTCCCAGCAACATTTTTATTCATGTAAGCACTGGCTTTCCTATAGGAACCAGCTTCATCTTACAGCCCTTTCATAGAAATTAATCCTGTCCAGCCCTAGTCAGCACAAGTTGAAAGGGTGTGAAAAGCCCACGTGTGCATTTAAAAAGGGAAAGACACCTCTAGTTGAGCTCCAGAAGAACATTTCTTAAATCATGTCTCTGGATTCAGCTGGGAAAACGTGGCATTTCAGCATCTCTTAGCCCTTCTGCTAAGCTCGAGTTGGTTGTTCGCACGTACTGGTTCTTCCCACAAATGAGGTTGACAGAGGTTTCTCCCAGAAGAGTGAAAAAAACCTCTGTGTCCTCAAAAATAACTCCTGCAATCCTCTGTTCTCCTCCTGCTTCTGTCCAGGATAATTCAGAGCTCACAGACAGGACGCACAGTAAGTCATTCACAGCAACGAAGACATTCCTGGATGTGCCCAGCTGGGAACTGACGCGTACGCTCCTCAGTCTGCTGGATAAGGAATGCAATTATGAGCCCGGCTTAATTTACTTCACTCTACTATTTAATTCCCTTTCTAAATACTGGTCTCTATTGAATGAGGGAAAAATACCTCTGAGGTTTAACCTAAGGCTGCTTTGTATGGGGCTAGACAACCAGCACACTCCTAATCCTGCAGAGATACTGTCTACTCATTAAGCCTTCCAAATCATGAAGCATAGCAAGAAGTCTGCAAAGTCACCGCTGTGGTTGAGGGCCCCATTAAGAAGTAGGTAGCCACTAAGACACACTTTAGGTAACTTAGTAAATGGATTACAGCCTCCTCTAAGTAGAGGCTGAAGGCACAGTTTGGATCAGGGTGAAGACAGACAGAAATCCACACATCTTACCATCCTTACAAACACCACTAGGAGTGGTTAATTAGCTCCTTAATAAGAGCCCTTTCATCACATCTGAGCTCTTACAGAGCTAGCCCCAAGTTAAACTGAAGCTACATCTTTGCTCTGGAAGAATGCCACTCCCTTCCCTGTCACCCCAATTCTCCTTTGTTCATGTAATAACTGTATCTTCAGAGATGTAAATAACAGCAGGATGGGCCCTGCTTTCCCATCATAAGCAGAAAATAAAAAGTTGTTCTAAATAAACCTGTGCAACAGCAGGTCAAGATGGCTCTTTGTCTATTGAGATGTTAAGTTTCTCGATCCTGTGCAACGGGAAGACAGCAAGCAAGAGCAGGGTGAGTATGATCCTGTGCAACGGGAAAACATTGCTTAAAGACAGCAAGCAAGAGCAGGGTGAGTAAAAGCTGTGCTAATGAAGCTTCAGCTCCCAGGCGGGGCCAAGTGCCAAGAGATCAACAGGAGTCTAGAAATACGCTGAGGAAGACCCCGGAAACCTTCCTCGCACGCACCCGATCAGTGCTGTGAGGCTGCAGGAGGGACCATCCCGTTCTTCTTCAGGTGCCCATGCTCCAGGGTGACCGGCTGCAGCTTGTGTAGGAGTAAGATGTCACCTGTCCCAAACCCCTACAGATTACAGCACCCTTTTCAGGTTTTACACTTCTAGCATTAGGATAAGAGTAATATTAAACTGCCTCAGCAGGATGGGAAGCAATGAGGGGAGGCTGAGACAGCAGGAAATGTACTAATGGGAAGTGTGGTACCCTTATGCAGGAAGAAAACTGTCCCACTAAGATGCAGCAGGACGTCCTTCTGCCACACAGTGCAGCTGGACAGAGAACCCACAAAAGGAAAAACTACTTGAGCTGGTCTCGAGGAGACTGGTTCAAAATGTTTCGGAAAAGCTGTTCTGTAACAAAGATCACAACACACTTCAAAAACGCATTAGGAGCTCCTTCCAAGAAAGAGCATCACAAAATGAAGCAGCCTGTTAACAAGAAGCAGTTGCAAAAGAATAAACCTTTTCTAAGCGGCATAAAAACTGTTGTGGAGACTTAAAATCATAAGATCTACCAAAAAAAAAAAAAACTTTCAAAATACCTATACATGGATGAATACATAGATGGTTGAGCACATCTATTTGCAATAAAGGGGAACCCTTTGAAAATGTAGTTTGTGTCTAAACGAGGAAACAAATGCTCAAGCTCTGGCAGATTCAATGTAGAAACAAATAAAGCAGAACAGAAAGGGTCTGAGGAATAAGAAGCCAAAGTCATAAAAACATCCTTTGCTAACACGTAGTAGGAAAGGTAGAAAATTAAGTCGCATGCAGAGCTTGGAGAAGATAAAGTCATAGCAGAACTAGAGGATTTTTCTCTTACGCATCTGAACTCGCCTTGCAGAACATAGCAGAGCTCTTCTCTAGGGGATGTACTGGAGGATCTTCCCCAGTCTGAGGTAGGAAAAACTCTTCCCAAATATATAAAACAAAGGGGATAAGCGAGCACTAACAAACACCACGCTCAAAGGGAATTTGCCTGAGTGACCAGGAACTCCAGGATGAAACAAAGCAAGCTGTAGCTTAACTATTTCTTGCTTAAAATGCTTAGTCCTAGAGCCCTTCAGTTTCTTGGAAGGGCTGCAGAAGAGGTTGAAGGACTAGTTCAATAAACTTTTGTTTTGTCCAATGTTCACAGTGATCTAATGAGTAGAAACTATTATAAATTTACTGCACTCTTCCAGTTCTTTAAGTGCAGCAAGAAAGAGTCAACGTGGCCGCACTGAGACAAACAGGAGCCAACGCACACATTTTGGGGGCAAAGCAGGGACTAGAAGTAACGTAAGTTTTGAGCATGGAAATAAGCACTGAATTCCCTAGAAATCTTTGCTATTCCCCAAGTGATCCACATTCTCCCCCTCCTTCCTAGGTCATTCATTTACTGCTGATAGGAGTCAAAGAAAAGGGTAAACAAGCAGCGCTGCAGGTGCCATGAGCCAGCGAGATGTCAGCCAAAGACATTCACTTAGACACACTATAAAGTGCACAAGGATAATCCCATGTCAGGTCTGCAAAATAGGCTCCAGTTTTACTACTGCTAATTAGGAGGACATTTGGGGTTTGCCCTTTACGTTCGTTATTATTAATGTGTCCTTCAATAAAGCTAAAGTCTAGACTATTTAATGGTCTTGAAGGCGCACGCAAACAATGACCTGAGGAGAGGAAGTCAAAGTTACTTTTTAAAATAAGGTCATTTCCAGAGTAGAGGAGAAGCTGAGCTCACCTGAAAGGGCCACCAAGCCTGCCTGGGCTGATTCAGTAAAGTCACCCATAAAAAAAAGCTTTTTACCCTCATATGAACCCAGCTACAAATCAGAGCCTTGGAGACATCAGAAACCAAACTCAAACCCATTCTTTCCTCTTTATTCACAACGTGTTTGGGATGAGGAAGGGTACCTAGGAAAAGGCAGAGTTGTTGGGTTTTTTTTTCCTTTGAGCTTCCTTTAGGAAATAAAATGTCCTGGGAGAAGAAAGAGGGAGTGGGGAGATTCAGAGGAGAAAGAATTTGTTGGATTCACATGAAAAACATTCAAGCAGCATTAAACACAACTGTGAAAAACAAGATTTTTTTTTTAAAAAAAAAAAGTATAACTGGAACCCTCTTGACTTTATATATATATAAAAAAAATCTGCTTCTGCCTTGCTTCTTTTGGTCTTTCAGTTATTTTTTCACCTCTGTCCTGAAGACATTTGTTTTGTTTTCTCCATTTCTTCCATTCTTCTGGCACTAGTGCATTCTGGAAAAAGAAATGCAAACAATTAATTTTCCACGCAAAAACACCCCATCTCCTTGCACAGTAAATGAACCCCCAAACTTATCATTTGCTGTCAAAGGAAGTTTTTTTTTTTGAGAGAGAGAAGTGCTAAGAGCAGTACTGCAACGTAACTGAGGACTGAATTCAAGGAGAATGGAAATGGTTAAACAAGATGAAGATTGATTTCTGGTGCAAAAGAAATGAACAAGTTTTGCAAAATATAAAACTGAATAAATCAAAAGAGCAGGGCTGCATGCAAAGCCCCTGGCTAATTTAAGCCCCTTTTCCTCTTTAAACAGGGACGTTTGCCCACTTTGAATCAGTGAGTCCAAGTGTAAACCCATGTAAAAAAGGTACCCAAGTGTAAAAGAAAGATATTTGTGCTCCAAGTGGATGGAGGAGTTTAATGTGGACACAGCAAACCCACCTTTGGGGCGTCCTTTTTCCTTTCAAGAAGCGAGACCCAGGCACAGCTGTGGATGCTGAGCACAGGACAGTCCAGCCCCACAACTCACTAAATTCAGCCTCAGGTGACATTTGAGCCATCACAAAGCTCTGCAGTTAGGGAAGTGCACACGGCAGCAACACCCAACTTGTGTTTTTTTTTCAAGATCTTCCGAGGTTAATCAAAGCCCATGGGGAATTAAGGAGTTAAAATGTCACGCTGAGAAGCAAAAAAACTGCAAGCTGTAGAAAACACTTGTTAAACATTTAGCTATGGGCTAGAAAAGCTCAATAGCACAGACCCAAAGCTGTGGTAAAAGCAGAAGCACCCAGGGGCTAGGACTGCACCCTGTCTGTCCAGCAAACACACCAGGACAGTATTCATCCCCCTCTGTTCCCTTCTGGTTACTTGTCATAGCTTCTTCTGTGACCAAATACCCCCAAACACTCAAGGCAGAGAAGAGGTAAATATCAGCATGTTGCCCTATGGGACATGAGGACCAAACGCCCCCAGTTTTCACAAAAGTCTCTTCCTTCCCTCGTTACAGGGACAACACGCTGCACGACCACATGTGGAGCAGCCTGTGGACCCACCAACCTGGGGCCTTACCTGCTCTGAACCAAAAGGAGTGAAGCTTTTAACAAGGCTGAGTGACCGGGGACATTTTGGGTGAGCGTGTGTGAGCACAAGGGCCTGGCTCCTGCTGCCACTGACTAAGCCATTATGGCCAGTTTAGGCCAGCAGGCAGATGAAGGGACGAGCAGGTCGTGTCCTCCCTGACCGAGGTGGTGGTGACCTGGCTGGTGACACAGCGCCCTCACCGCCCCCAAGTGCATCACTCAGCCCTACAGCAGCAGGAGCGCCGGGAGCCGGATAACCAGAGCACCGCAGAGCAGGATGGGGAGCAACAACAGGAAAACGGGAGCAACCACTTCCACCAGCTTTTCCTATAACTGCTAGTACTCACAATTTATTTATAGAAGCGATAGGGCTTAATCTAAGTTTGTCCCCTATAGCTGCTTGGTGTACGAGGCGGTATATCCGCACTTATACACCTGCACATTCCACCACAGAGACTGCAGATGCTTCAGGAGTCTCGTGAAGGTGACTCAGTCTCAGAGGACACCTGTCAATATGCAAACCCAGCTGTAACGGGGGACACTCGCAGTGTGATTTAAAGCCAAAAAAGCCAAGTTGGAAGAAAAAAAAAAAAAAGGCAAAAAGCAGCATCTTCAGCTAAGGTATCTTTTTTCCCCAGGGAGTGTGGGATGGAAGTGAAATGAAACAGCCAGCATGCCCAAGAAAGGCAAATGTCAAGAAAAGGCCCTTACTTCTAGAAGAGCTGGTCACTAGCAATACCCCCTTTTACCGCAGCGTTCTATACTTTGCCAACCTACTGCTCTGCTCTGCAGCGATCCTGCCAAAAGGAGAGAGGAAGAAAGGTTCAGAGGAGGAGGAAGGAAGCAGCCCTGCTCCAGGAACTGGAGCTAATGACAGAAATGCAAAAAAATAAGAAAAAAAAAAAAAAGGCAAAACCAGGCCTTCTGGTAACTTCTGTGGAAAATAAACATGGTTTGCAGATGGTCCTGCTCCCACTCCTGACGCAGGACATGTCCACAGCAGAATGGCAGCTCTGCCTGCACAAGCAATCTCATTAATTATCACTGCACTTCAGCATCTGGGACAGACTAGCAGCACGTTAACAAAAAGATGTCTTTTAGAGCTTGAAAATCAGGTAAAAAGCCTGGAGTAAAAGTTTTACTTTCAAGTTTGCTACTGCAGTTACAGCTTCTCCAAGTTATTTACAGTGCAGTGTCTGGGACAGACTAGCAGCACATTAACAAAAAGATGTCTTTTAGGAGCTTGAAAATCAGGTAAAGAGCCCGGAGTAAAAGTTTTACTTTCAAATTTGCTACTGCAGTTGCAGCTTCTCCAAGTTATTTACAGTGCAGAAGCAAACAGACACCTCCCTGCACAGTTCTGATATAAGAACCAGCCATCTGCATTTATGTGTTAACAGAAGCCTTGGTTGAGCTAAGACATTTAGAAAAAAGCTTCACTGTATTTTTTTTTTTGCTTTCCCCAAAATCTGTATATTGGGAATTCTGTTACTATTTTATTCTTATTCTTCAAGTTAAGAAATGAAACATTATCAAAATGACACAGCATAGCCCCATTGGCAATAAACTGCCAACGGGAATTCTCATCCTAGGAAGAGTAAAGTGCCACACTCGAGGGGCCTGGGCATCCAAGAGAGCAGGACTGAGACATTGAAAAGGACAGCACGAGAAGGCCAGGTCACAGTAAGAGTCTTTACTACTACAGCTGGGCAGGTACCATCTTCTTTAAAGGCAACAAATGTGAAATCCCTCAAAATTCCATTTATTTTTGTTTCTTGCATCTCTTGGCCCAGTATTAATATAATGTAAGAAAAAATGAGAATCCAAGAGTATTTATACAGGTATGTGCACAAGAATAAACTTTTGTAATGGCACAAAAGGGGCAGTAACGCAAAAGCTCCGGTTTGATGTCAAAGCAGGTCACGAGGCCAACTCCAAGGCCAAACTCTACATTAGCACGAAAGGGTTGGAGTTTACATCTTACACAGAGCTGCTCCCAAGGAAAGCCCACGTGGCAGGAGTGAAGGAGGGCAGTGTGACCTCTGATGAACGCACTGTTTTGGGAGCTTGGGTGGGGGAGCAGCCTGAAAACTGCCTAAGCCACGGTGCTTTTTTGAGACACTGCATGGTACAGGGCACAAACGTGAAGAATCAATCTCATCCTAACAAAGACAACATATATAAGCATTCAGAGAGCACGTCTATACTGGGCAATGCAGCACTGGGCCTTATCAGAGGTACCCATGGCCAGTTTTACAGCTCAGCTTTGTCGGGATCGCATTCCTTGGGAACAGAGCTGGGAAAGGGCCCATCAGAGATCATCTGGTAGAGCAGCCAGCTCAAAACAGGACCTGCTCTGAACAGCCTGCACAGGACAAGTTCAGAATAACTTAATTCAGGCAAGTTTGGAATAACTCCGGAGATAAAAGGTCTCAAAACTTGCCCGAGCTACTTGTTGCAGTGTTCAATCACCTTCAATCAATTTTCCCACCCACAACATTTGTCAGAATTTTCCCTGTTGCTGATTGTCTGTCGCCCCTTGTCTGCTGCTGTGTACTTCCAACGAGCACCTACTTTCCTTTTGTCTAACTTCCCAGCAGGAAATCGAAGAAAGTGGTAAGAACTCCCTCCCCTAAAACTCAGGGGGCCAGAGAATCTGGGTCTCTTTCACACTTACAGCAGTTATCATTATCTAGCAGGACTGTAACAGCCTAATGCTAAGTATGCCATGTTGTAAAACAACCTTGTCAGGGAGAACATCTTCCAAGGGCAGATTTCCACCTGGCAGCGCACACACGTGCACCCCCAGAGCTCCGTGCACCTGATCACTACAGCAAGTGGCCCTATACACACAGTATCTATGCACTGAGAGCGGGGTTCATCGCTCCATCAGTTACTGACTCCAGGGAGCGTCTGTGCGAGCTCCTCCTCCCCGGGGATTTTAGGATCGTTCCCACCAGCGCGTCCGTCTCCGACCTACCGCTTCACTGCCTTCTGGGCCAGCATCCTGTTGCCTGCCAGGAACGTGACACCACCCAGAATGGCCAAGTACTTCAGAGTCTGGAACATGTTGAGCTGAGTCCAGTAGACGTACATGAGTCCCAACATTGCTGTGAAAAAAGGCAGAGCTCAGGCAGAAGTTGCATTTTAAGGAAAGACTATTGGTTATTCCCAGAATAATTTTTATGTTTTACTGCCAGGCTTATGCACTAGCTCTGTAACTCATCTCCAAAGGTCTGCCTGACGCATCCAAAGACTACACATTGTTGTCAAGCAAAGGAGGTGTCTGGGTCTACATAATGCAGAAAAACATGACACAGATGGATGCAAGCAGCTCCCTTCTGGAATAATCTTGGACGTAGGACAAAGGTTTCAGGCTATTAGGAGGAGGATCTTCTGGATTTCAACAGGGAATATATTAACCTTTGCCTATTTCCAGGAATACAGAGCTTTCAACATAAAGCTTCCAAGGAAAACAGCTTGGGTTGAGTAACACACTGTCATCTGGGAAAGAGGGGATTCAGTGTTTTCCTAATCTGCTACGTTTCTGAAATTCTACCAAGACAATAAATATGCAACCAAGAGAGCAACGAAATGGATAAATAGATCTGGCCTGTTCAAAGACCTAGATGGTAACAGGAAGAGTGTTAAAGAAAAGATACACTCGGTGAACCCACAGGTCTCAAGCCCCCAGAAACCCCTGCTTACAAAGGGTAAACTTGCAATAAAGAAAATGTGACCTCTGGAAATAAAGAGTTCTATTAAGTAGAGACGAGTGGTGTGCGAGAGAAGCCTGGATAATAACTGCTGTTACAAGCTGATGGCCAAAACACGGTTAGCACCATATTAACAATCATGAAAAGCAGGAAGGCAGATGAAAACAAGAGAACAAATGTTATGCTATTATGTCATTATAGTTAATAGGCTGCAAGTCCATTTTCCACCAGGACTCTCATCTGTAACTTTCAGGTGAGAAGGTCACCGAGAGCAGAAAACCTTTGGCACTTACCAGCGTGACCAATGTGAAAAATGATGGTGCTCGGAGCAAAGCTGAAATTGGAGATGTTGGCACCAATCTTTATCCACTGAAAGAAAAATAAATAAAACTTGAGTAAAAATGACCTTACAAACACAAGTTTTTATTTTAAACACCTTTCAGGCCAGTTGGCTCAATCAGGACAGTATTTTTTCTACTTGTTTTCAACTGCACGGACAAAAATTACTACTGAGTTTTAAGACAGTCCTCGTATGCTCCTTTAGCAGAAACTGTTCCTAGCTGGTTCTAATTCTAAAGAGGCAGTTCCTCAATTCTCCTTCACAAACATGACTGGAATAGGGCCAGCATAAAACCACCTTCAAGCAAATATACAACTCCAAACTGCATTAAAAAACAAAAACAAAACAAAACAAGCAAACAAAAGCTCTTTTGAGTTTTTGTTTTTGAACTTGTGATATAGAATCTTTTCTTTTTGTAATTCTTTTTATCACGAGTTCAAAAATCAGAACTGGTAATACAGTGAGATAATGCTAAGTGCTTCAACAATAGACATGCAAATACCTATTAAGTCCATACACTGTATTCAGGCTGATGGAATTAAATGATGTGGATTTTGTGATAGGCATACTAAAGGGTAATGTAGAATCACTATTTTTCTCCCAGAAAAAAGTCTAATATTGGTCATAATCTAGTCTCACTGTTACTCAGTGATCACTAGCAGAACCATGCTGGGGAACCTCAGCTCACCTCCTTCAGTAGTATTGTTTTTTGTTTTGAGAACCAACAGTTTAGAAACAAAACCAGTCCAACATCCTGCACTGACAATGATTCCTCAAAAACGTACTATTGAAATGCCTAGAGCATCTCCTTCCTAGAGTTGTGCTTTGCCAAGTATGACTGCAACAGTGCTGTGCTAATTACAGTTAATTCAGACTCTGGCTAGCCCATCTCCTAAATGATTTTGGACTGGATGGAGAAATAAATAAATAAATCAGGTGCTCTGTTCACTCACCAGAATGAGCAGCAAAAGCAAAGGGGAGAGAATCAGTGCTGTGAATGTGTTAGATACCACAGTAGGAGGCCTCTTCTCAGGTTCCCTGAACAGATGCTGCAAACAAAAAACAAACAAAACAACCAACTTCGAAGGAGTCACACTCCAACAGAGCAGTTTTTTAGCTCCACAGAGGTCCAGCTGCTGCCCCCAGCTCTTCTGTGTCATGAGCACCCCTTTCCAAACAAAGGCCAGTTCTTTAAGTTATTGTCTATTCCAATTATGCACATTCACCTCTTGCTCAATTAGCTAGCTCTTCCATGTGCTCGTTAGCCTGTCATCAGCACAGAGGGCTAGATGGCCAGAAGGGAGCAGTGGATGCCTTCAGAAGCGGAGGGTTTTCCCTGGTGCTTGTCTAGTCAAATTCTCATGTTTGAATCTTCTTACTGACCCCAACTGCTCTCTCACAGGTGCAGGATTTAGCTTGTTTATTCATACTCAGCACTGCAACGAATTTCTTCACATTAAACAGTAACTTTGACTTTCCTTTATTATTTGCACAGTATTAATCTTGTTATAAAAGATGACTTTTTTGTTCTCATATTCATATATTTCTGATACAACCCAAAGAGCCAGATTAGGACTAGCCACTTGCCGAGCCCTCAACACAGCGTTTTTCTTTTTTCTTTTTGCCTCTTTCTTCCCTCCCTGGAACCATTTTTAGACTGTACCTGGATTTCAGGTTTGGGAACAAAGAGGTTCTTGGACTGGACTGTGGATGGTGCATCTTCTTCTGGAAACTTGATAACAACATCAGCCTGAAATGAAATTACACAGCTTCAGGAATTCTGACCTTAATATATTGAGAAAGAGCTCTACAAAACCTAATACAACACTGTAGCATATTTGCTCATTTGTCAATCTATGATTGACATGATTTTTAAACATAGACTAAGAAAAAGTTATCAGATTTTAAAAGGAAGTTTCCAGTTGAAGAAAATTGTTTTCACCCATGACTAAAGCTGGGCTTATTTACAGCACGTGGATACAAAAGCTAAGTCATGAACTGCTTGCTGTCATGTCTGCAAAGGCTCCGAAGTTTCCACTCCAGCATGTGCTGGATAAACACAACTAAATCTTGCTTTGAAACTTGAGATGGAAAACTTAAAAAATGAACCAGAGGCCTCAGAGCCTGTAACTGGCTAAACAGGTGCTGCTTCACAACAAGGAACTACAACATTTGTTGTCTTTTCTTCCACACATGTACAATATGCTCCTGCTAGACTGACAGTAAAATCAAAACCAGATCATCACACGTACAGCTACATACCACATTCCACAGGATTGGATTTTCCAGGGTGGCATCTCCAATGATCAGGTAAAGAGTATAGGTACCAGAGGCAGAGTCAAATTCTGTCTTTCGCTCAGAAGTGTCCAGTTCAAACTTGTATATGTTCTTGCTATCTGGTTCTGCAACAAACACTACCTCTTGGCCAGTCTTTTGGTTGTGAAGCCGGACAAAAGTCTGAAGGAAAAGATTGTAATGTTTCTAGAGGATCTCAAAGTACTTTTTTTACAAGCATCAGTGAAGAAAGATTTTTCCCAAATCAAAAACCACAATAGTAGAAATGTAGGAGCATAAACTGGGAGCCCGGCCATCTAGACGCCTAAAAAATAAGTGAAGTACAATGACTCTTCATGCAACTACATTAACACACTACCAACAATGGCCAGAAATCCAACTGCGGTATAGGACAGGCTGTATGTATTTCCCCCCCCTTCTTGTGTGTATATACATACATACATACATATATATATTTAAGGGAGAAAAAGTCTACATAAAGGATTATTTAGGGAACACTCCATATTCAAAACTCAGAAATGCACTTTTACAGTGCAGAGCACATTCACTCATTCTGTTGATCTGAATAAGAAGCAGTATCAGAGCTAAAAGACTTCATTTCATGTGTAGCAAGCATAGACAAACTGAAATCACCCCTCTCAGACTGGTGCTCTTTCATTTGAAAAACACAAGGCTTTTCAAAGTACACAGAGTGCCTAAGATGACCGCTGCTCTCAAAGACTTCATGATGGAACACCTGGCTGACATGGTCATGTCGAGATTTTGTCCTAACCTGGTGAGGGGTGAGTTCAGCTCCACTGTTCACATCTACCAGCTGGAAGGACAAAGCAAAATTCTGATGGCTGTCAGCAGTGAATGAGCCCTTGGCTTTGGCTGGATAGGCTACCCTGTAGAGGGAAAAACAAGCAAAAACACTCACAGTTGGGGTGATCTTCCAAGAGAGGGTCTTATGTTAGGAAAACTGACACACAAACCTGAGCAGTAGCACTGCAGTCTATTCAGCATAGAGGAGTTATTTTATCAAATAGTTTGGTACACTAACATGACTTTCTGTTCTACTGTAAGTTTAAAGGAAAAATATGAATGGAATTCTTTAGAAAGACTTTTGTGAGCTACTGGTATTGCCTTTCTCAAGGAAAAACATTACTTTATTTTAAGGTTCAAAGGAATCCCATTTAGAAAAAAGAAACATCCCATATTTCACTCAACCAAGGCTCTGCTGCCTCCAAAGGTGTGATGGCAGCAGAGCAGGAAAAACAAATACACAAACTTAGCAGAGGAGGGTAATCACTGAGGGGCCTCAGGGAGGTGGTTCAACTCAGGTCAAACTCCATGCATTATATTTTAAGTGATGTCAGTTAAACAAACAATCCTCCTCCCTTAAAACAAAAAGGCAAAACAAAACAAAAAGCACAAACACACTAAGTTTTACCTGGTTGTTTTTGGTGCGATGCTCTGATCTTTATCCACAGTAGAAAGATCCACGTTTGTAATTCCAACTTCTGTGGAAACTTTTACTTTCAACTGCAACCAAGCGCAATGGGGAATTACTCGGAGCACTCAATTCCTGCACAGACTGCTTACAGCTAAGGTCACTTCTGCAGCTTTCGGTTCTTCTGGCCCCTTCCCCTAAGGAAAACTAATTCTAAACCAAAGGCAGAGCCTAATCCGAACAAGATGATCCACACCAGCTTATTTTCTGGCCAAACTCCTCCATCAGTCACTAAGTTTAACTGTCGTCTTCCTCTCTGCACAAGAGGCCTGGTCTGAAAACACCAGCTTCTTGGTCACGCTGGAGTTGGCTGCCCTTTTGAGATCTGATTTTATGGAGCAGTCCAGTTATCCAGATCCGACTGGTTTTCTTCTTAAATGACCAGAAACTAGCTATTAAATATGATATGACTTAAGCTACACATGCATATGCGCTCCTGCTTACTGCATAGCTATTGGAGATGAGAAAAGTCCCCTAAGAGCAACCAGTTGTGACATTTTGGCTCCTAAAAGTCTGAGAGGTTTCTGTGGATCTTATTGCCAGCAGGAAAAGCCAAACCATTCCCATCGACCTGTACTCTATTTTAGCAGCCTTTCCTTCAGAGAGGAGCAATATTTATCATTTAATGCAGGGCAGCCAGTGAGCCCTGTTATTTATCACCGTTTGTTCTACATATTGCATAAAGCTGGAGCAAAGAATTGATTCCCTGCCCTCCCTGCAGCACCAAACAGAATCTAGACAGCAGATCTTGGTAGGTTTGACTCATTTCAGCCCTTTCAAACATATGCAGCTACTGCGGGTTACAGTTTTTAATTAGCACTTTTGTTCCCACAGCTGATAAATAATCCTCTGGAGAATTTTAGTTTGTTTCATTGCCAATACATTTTTTCATTCCACAATTTGTTATTATGGGTTTGCTCATGTGAATCAGTCCCACCTATTCACCCTGAAAAATAATTCACATAAAACCTGTAGGAAGAATAAATAAAAAACACGAAACAAGCCACCCAGGTCACACTTCAAATAAAATAACCTTAACAATTCCTTTAAATTGAGATTTTAAAGTAAAACTCATTATAGGGGTTATCCCTGAAACAATCTACAGACTAGCAGATCCCATTCAAGACGACTTTAGTAAAAACTCATTTTGTTTCCAAGATGGGCGCAAAGAACGATGAACTAATGAAGTAATAATTTAAAAAAATGTAAGTGAAGGCAGCTCAGAGCTGCTGTGCATAGTCCCTCCAACGGAACACTACACAAACATCTCTCAAATATTTTAATGCCAGGAAATGCAGTCTCTGCCTAGAGTAATAACCCACTGGTTTAGCTCATTACTGTCAAAAACGATAGTGCATTAAGGACAATTAATGCTAATAACAGTAAGGGGAAGAAAAAAAAAAAAAAAAAAAAAAAAAAAAAAAAAAAAAAAAACGTTCCCCCCACAGACTCCCCCACCACACAA